CCTTTTTAGCGAGCTAATACTACAGCTGTATTTCTGATGGTCTTTGCGTGAATTTTGACACTACCTACCCTTGAATACAGCATCAAGCAAATCAGGCCTCCAGGAGTCTTCCCTCTTCTTTCCTGAACCTTCTAGATCTGTGCTGAACTCAAGGTCTGAAACTGGCTTTCCACCTTTCTGTGGAAAAGCCCACAGCATATCTGAGAGATCTGAGACTGAAATTGGATTATGTCGGGGGTTCCTCATCCTGCCACCTCCTGGAGGATCCCATAGCAAATAATGCTTGTGATGACAGTGTTGTTTCTGTCTGCTAAGTATCTTTTTTTGTTCTTAAGATTTATTTATTTATTATTTTAGAAGGGGGGGGGCAGAAGGAGAGAGAGAGAATCTCAAGCAGACTCCCCGCTGAGCACGGAGCCCTACGTGGGGCTCGATGCAAGGCTCCATCTCATGACCCTGAGATCATGACCTGAGCTGAAATCAAGAGTCAGAAGCTTAACTGACTGAGCCACCCAGGCGCCCCTGTCTGCTAAGTATCTCTATCAGCACGTTGCTTTCCCTTTGTGGATCCTTCTCCACTACTCCAACATAACACAGTCCCCCAGTATCACTCAGTCTAAACGCACCAATCAGAGAACCCCATCTCCTGGCCGTAATAATTAGGTTGGAGGACATGATGTTGGAGGGTCTCATTCTTCCTTTGGGATCATAAGCTGTATATAGGCCCTCATCCTACCTGCAGCCCCCTTCCCCAGTTGTCAGGAAGACAGTCTGCATGCCTGAAGACTGAAGCCAATCTACACCAGGATGTATAGGTGAGAGTTGAAGAGAAAGTTTTGTCTATATTGGCTGAGCTCCTGGATATAGCCATACCTGAGGCCAAAAGCCCTCATTCTTTCTAATACCATGAGCCAACACATTTCCTGGGCATTGGGCTGGTTTTTAGTGGGTTTCTGTCCCTTGAATCGATGACAGTCTTGACTAATTTAGAATTAGTACCTGGAAAAGGAAGGGTATTGTGGGAAGTAACCTAAAATGTGGAACTGGCAGAGCAAAGTGAGGTAGAGGGGCAGGGCCACCACAGACACATATTCACTATAAAGTGAATGGGACTCCCTAGATTTATGCAGTGCATACAGTCTGCCCTGAGGAGAGCCTTCCTCAAGAAACAAGAAATTTCTGTTATGTGGAAGAAAAATAAGCTGATTAAAATCTTGCTTCCTGGGGCGCCTGGGTGGCTCAGTCGTTAAGCGTCTGCCTTTGGCTCAGGTCATGATCCCAGGGTCCTTGGATCAAGCCCCCGCATCGGGCTCCCTGCTCCACGGGAAGCCTGCTTCTCCCTCTCCCACCCCCACTGCTTGTGTTCCCTCTCTTGCTGTCTCTCTCTCTGTCAAATAAATAAATAAAAATCTTAAAAAAAAAAAAATCTTGCCTCCTTGGGGGTGCCTGGGTGGCTCCGTCAGTTAAAGCATCCGACTCTTAGTTTTGGCTTAGGCCGTGATCTCAGGGTCCTGAGATTGAGCCCTACATCGGGCTCCGCGCTCAGCATGGAGTCTGCCTGTCCCTCTCCCTCTGCTCCTCCCCCTTCTCTCTCTCTCTTTCGAATAAATAAAATCTTTAAAAAAAAAAATCTTGCCTATTTTATCTTGGGACTCTAACCACGTGTTTCTTGAGACTGTGGTTGGAGGGGCTTTGGAGAAAAATGGCAGGATGTTGAAATATTTGGGCGCCTTCATCAACGTCTCCCCAGACAGACGCAAGCTGCCTCTACATCTTGCAGCAGAGACTGGCATCTGCTTGATTTTGTGATTGCCTGAGCTGAATTCTCCACCCCAAGCTAAAAGAGGAAATTAGTAATGAGGTGGGAGATAAGACTGGGATTATTGGAGAACCAGGGGGCACTCGATGCCCCAGGCTACTCTGTAAAACGGAACACTCCCTGTCTATAAACATACAATTACCCTCCACTGGGAAGAGCCTATTAGCTATCTTTCCACCCTCCAGATTGTAACCTGGGGCAATAGAGATGCTAAGGGGATGGGCAGGCACAGATCTGTTGCTAGGAGACAGGGTCCAGCAAGGTTGGGCTCCAGGATCAAAGATCCTGGTGAGGTCTGGGGAACCAAATCACCCAGGGGTGGGCTTGTGAGCTGGGCCATCCAATCATAGCATTCTATCCCTCTGGGCACAATGATTGGTTCATGGCTGGGCATGTGACTCAAATGGGCCAATTAGAGTGTCCTTTAAGTTCCAATAAGAGGAGTTGGGGCAAGACCCTCTCCTTCTTCCTTTGAGGCTTTAATGAAGAGGATTTGGATTGCTAGCATCTTTTTTTTTTTTTTTTGGCCACCGCTTGGAGGGACACAGGATTGCGAGGTGGTGAGGTAGATTCCAGATTTTCTTATTTCTAAGTTATAAAAACCAAAATTCATCCAAATAAATTTGAAGATCTAATTGGCTTTATTAAATGGCTCATGGGGGTGCCTGGGTGGCTCAGTTGGTTAAGCATCTGCCTTCGGCTCAGTTCATGATCCTGGGATCAAGTCCAACGATGGGCTCCCTGCTCAGCGGGGAGCCTGCTTCTCCCTCTCCCTCTGCCCTTACCCCACCCCACCCCCGTGCTCACTCGCTTGCGCGCTCTCTATCAAATAAAGAAAATCTTAAAAAGATTTATGAATCAGGTGGCATCCCTTCTAACACACAGAGGGGCACTCTGAGGAGTTGTACAAATTGGAAGGTTTTTACAGGAAGGGGGTTAGGGCAAGAAAATTATAGGCAAAAGAAAAGAATTGTTCCAGGCAAAGTCACTTTCCCTTAGGGGAAGGGTAGGGGATCTTATTAGGTGGATTACCTCACCTTCTGTCCATGAAGAAGGCCTGTGTGACAGATTACCTTATTGGTGCTTATCAAAAAATTCCCAATTGGTAGATTAACACATATTTCTGAGGGAGGTTGAAACTGCAATTAGGTTAGGTATTAACCCTTGGTTTGGTGACTTAGCCTGGCCCAAGTAACACCGTTTGGGGTCTGCGGTTTTCTTTGTAACAAAGTCAATAAAAATCCCTTTCTACTTGAGCTAGAGCGAGCCAGGTTTCCATCACTTGCAACAAAAATGACCTAAGACATTAAAAAAATAGGGGCACATGTCATCAAGCTGCAGCCAAATGCTAGGCTCTGTTCTAAGAATGGCACATGTGCATTTTAGTTAAACCTTGTACCCACTTTATGAAGGAAGAACTGTTGCCAGCCCCGTTTTATGCACAAGGAAAGAGGGGCAGATCATGACATCACTTGCCTAAGGACAGAAAGACAGGGAAGTGGCAGGTCTGAATTCTGCTGCTCCATGATGTTTTCCTTTAAAAATTAATCTGTTCTCCCATGTGCAATCCTACTTTATTCATCTTGGTCTATAAGCCTTTTGGGTTTTTGTAGTTGATATGAAATGCCTTTTTTGGTGTGGGGAAGGGTGAGTGGAATATAGGGAGGGATAGACATAAATCCATAAAATACATCCCAAATCATGATGAAGTATCTTTCTGCACTAAAAATATTTCTAGTAAAGCTCCTGTTCTTTCCTAGCAACCATCCCGGGGCTAGTCAGTTCCACTGTTAGAAATCTTTCAATTTGTGCAGAAATCTGCCTCCTTGGAACTCCTACCTATTATTTTTCATCTGGTGTCTGGGTTGCTTTAAACCATTCCTAGAACCAGGCAGGAGCACACATTTTCCTGCAACCAGAGCTACATGGAAATGAATACCAAAGTAAGCTTTCTGAGCTTCCTGGCAGGCAAGGCAAAAAAGAAAAGCCTTTTAGTTAAGAGTAGTCCGATCAACAAACAGACCAGCTTCACCAGGAGAGTCTGATTTTGTCCTGGGGATCACTGCAGGATGGGTTTATTGCAGTGGTTCTCAAGCAGGGCAAACCCCCCCCCTCCCCCGCGGCCCAGGGGACATTTGGCAATGCCTGGAGATATTTTTGGTTGTCACAACTGGCTGGGGTAAAGGGAGGATGCTATTGGCATATGGTGATTAGAGGTCAGGGATGATGCTAAACATCCTACAGTGCACAGGAGGGCCTCTGACAATAAAGAATGATCCCATCCAAAATGTCAATAGTACTGGGATTGAGAAATCCTGAGTCATCATGAGGTAATTCAGAAGTGTGTCATGTAGATCTTTAGCGGAAGCAAACAGAAGAGGTGTTTTGCAGCTAGCAGACCCTTGCATAGATAATAGGAGAGCAGCCAAAAGGGCCATCTTATTCTGTGGGACCCAAAGCTGGACTCCTGTTCTTCCTGTGACAACCTAGCTCCACACCAACTGTGGCTGGTGATATAAAGGTGTCATTGAGCTGACCCTGACACTAACTACCCTGGAGGTGAGCTAGGAAATGACAACCTGGCCTCACAGAATTGCTGCCCATGGGGAAAGGGCTCCTGGCCTGGCTTGAGCTTGGCTTTTGGTGGCTCAAGAGGCCTTGGTCTTTGAAGGTCTGATTACAGAGGCAGGGATAGAGTCAGGGAGCCATGTTCATTCCCTGAAACCAGATTCCCAACAGCCGAAAGAAGCAGGCCCTGGGCATGGCCACTGAGGCCCATTTCATCGTGGACAGAGCCAATCTCACCACACCCAGACCCTCAAGATGGGGGCGCTGTCCAAGGTACCGTTTGTTGACATGCTTGTCAAGCCCCATCAGTGATGGAGCTCCACCCCATCCTCCTCCTTTCCACCCTTTTCCTTTCGTCCCTGGCTGGACACCTCCTCCCTTGGACTTGATCATATCATGATGGCTTTTGTTGATTTGTCCCTGGACCCAGCTCTGACCAGTTGCCCAGCCAGCCAGCACACCGTTGAGCTTCCAGCTTTCACCCACAATGGAGGAAATTGCTGGGTCACTCTCAGCCTCTCCACCCCCTCAGTCTCCCCCCTCTGAACCCCACCCCCTCTCTCAATGATTGAAAGCTCCTTCCCATACCCTCATCTTCCTCTTTCCTCCATACCTTCATGCTGAGAAGGGAAGTGCTCTCTCCCTCCTTGACCCCCAGCCACACACACTGAAGTGTGTACATTTCTCATTTATAACATTCTAATGAGAGAGCTACCATTCATCTCCACTTTACAGATGAGCAAACAGATGAGGCTCAGAGGGGCTAAGTGCCTTGCCCAAGACTACTACCCAGGACAGAGGAATTAAGATTTGGACTCTGTCCATTCAGCCCTAGGAATCTGTGTTCTCAGCCCTTCACTACACTGCCCTGTTCAAAGCTATGACTCCTCTCTTCACATCATTCAGATTTGTTGGTGCACCTGAACACCTTACACTGGGTCCAACAGCCAAGCCTTTGCACAAGCTGGGATGGCCTCCTTGCCCAGAGCGGGGCGATCTTCAGGGCCCGTGGAAGTGTCTGTTCAGGGTTATTTGATGGAGTCACTCTCTCCTGTACCGTCCCCAACCCACGAAGCATCCTCTTTCATGGCTGACTGATGGAGGGTGGGGTGGGATGCTGCCAAGACACTGTTTATTGCTGGCTAGGGCATGGGTAGGTGGGGGCCTGGGGGGCCCAAGGGTCTACCTTCCCAGCCCCACAGCCCCACTGGCGAGGGGAGCCCAGAGGCACATGGCTGTCCTGCAGATTGACCAATCTCGGCACTGCTGGGCCCTGGTACTTGGAGGGAAACTCATGCTTGTATTGGGTTGAGAAGAAGCGCTGTCCACCCAGCGGGGGCTCAATGTGGCCGTACTTACACTGTGGAGGCAGGGTGGTCAGCGTGGCAGGACAGCCTGGAGGCTGGTGGACCTACCTGGCCCACCCCGTGGCCCCCATACGACCTGGGAGCAGCAAAGGCTGATGACTGGGCTCTGAGGAGGTGGGCAAAAGGTACCCCAGCTTGGGCTGACCCAGGAGCTGGAGAGAAACCAGTGACCCCTGGAATGACCCCTGGACTGTGGTGACCCAGGCAACTGTGAGCTAACCCTCAGCTGGGGGTATAACTGTGGCTGGTGATATAAAGGTGTCATTGAGCTGACCCTGACACTAACTACCCTGGAGGTGAGCTAGGGATGACCTTGAGGCTGGGGTGACATTAAGATGACCCTGTGCCTGGGGTCACCCTAGAGAGACCCTGAAAAGGACTTGATACTAATTCTGGGCCTGAGGTGACGACATTATCATCCTGAGATAAAGCTACACTGATTTTGGGGGTTACCTGGTCAGGGAGGTACCCTTCCCCGTCCCTCACCCGCTGTAGCATGTCCTCAGTCACGGAGGCCGGAGCTGTTCTATGAGGCTTCAGCATCTTCTGGTTCGTGGTTAAAAAATCTGTTTCTGGAGATTTGGGGTGGGGGTAGTCGAGCTGAGGGGCTGAGGGAGGAGAGGCATGGTCCCTGGGCAGGAACGTGAGAGATTAAGGATGGAGTAGGACTTCAGGGCGAAGCCCTCGCCCTCGCTGAAGTTGGAGCGAAGATGGATTAGGAGGCGGGGCGGAGGAGGAGCCAGGGGCGTGGCAAGCGCAGACTAGTGAGGGGGCAGGCAGGGCGGGCTAGTCGGTGAGGGGGCGGAGCCAGAGTCTGACAGAGGAGCAGGGGTTGGAGTCGGGAGAGGGCAGATATGGAGAGGGGCGGGCCTACGGCCATGCAGGGGGCAGTGCCGTGGCGGAGACGGTGGTGGTGGTGGGGAGTCAAGTCCACGAAGGGGCGGGTTGTCCAGGGTCAGAGTTGGGATCTCGGTCACTGGGGAAGGATCTCGCTCTTCAGGAGGCGGAGCCAGAATCGGGCAGTGGGCGGGGCGAAACTGGCCGGGGCGGGGTTAGAGCTGAGGCGGGGAAGGGAGCCCTGCCCCTTCCCCCCAACCTGCTCACCGTCGGTGCCCCGGGGCAGGTTGCTACGCAGCAAGTGGAGACTAGGCGCTTTCTGCGGCTTCTCTGGCGTCCCACGGGGGCAATAGTCCGTGCCCGTGGAGGTCTGGAAGAACTGTTCGAGCAGCGAGGAGTCCCCTAGACGCACGTGACTCTTCCATTTCTCGTAAGGCACGTGGCGGCTGGGTGGTTCGGTCACGGGCGGTGGCTGTAAGACCACATGGCCTCTGGGAAGCTCCCGTGTCCGGGATCTCCCAAAACCCGGGTGGAGACGAGAGGCGAGCGCTCTACGACCTTGGAGAGCTCACACCCTCTCTAGGCCCACGTTGCTGGTGCTGGGAGTAGGCACTGTATCTCATTTTGCAGACAGAGCCACCGAGGCTCCCAGTGGTTAAGGGACTTAACCCTAGATACTGCAGATAGACCCAGGAGATCCCCCACACGTTACACTCGCTCCCACCTCAAGGACTTTGCACTTGCTATAGGTACTGCCTGGGAAACCCTTTCCCTGATGAGCCCCGGGGGAAGGTCTCCCCCTTCCGGCTGACCTGACCATGGAAGAAATGCATGGAGGTGGTGAGACTGCCTGGACCAGGGCACCAGTTTCCTTCCAGGATGTGCGATGCTGGAGTCTGGTCATGGTGAAGGACAAAAGGCTCTGCCAGTGGCAGAGCAGAGGTTGAGCAGACCTGGGAGGCCCCTGTGGGAAGT